TTACGAAAGGACAACAAAGTTATTGTAAATATAGATTGTTTGTTTGTTTGCTTGTTTCATTTTACGCCTTTTCCCAACAGTAATTCAGTCATATAGGCGGGTAGTTTCCTAACCATCGTTCCTGGAGAGTTACACCAGTACTAGACTACCTTCCTCCGCGCTAAACTACCAAAGCATCTCCCGGGGATCGAACCCACGTCAGAGAGGTCACTGGATTAGATACATAGCTGGTCTAATCATACTGACGTTGCATGTATTCCAGTGACTAAATACGACAATAGTATGCATGATTTTATTTAAATAATTGCAAAAAAAAAAAATAAACAAAAGAAATAAAAAATAAATAATGATAATAGTAAATGATAAAAAAATAAATAAATGTCTTGCAAGGATATTTAGTAAAATATACTAATATATATCATGTGCTGCAATTTTAAGCACTTGCCATTTCTGATCCCTATATCATTCTTGGGAGCCTTTATACGTTGAACCTTTATCGCGTAAACAGTAGACTGGTGGATGGCCAACTGGTCACATTGGCTGTCCCCTTTTTTAATCTATGTTTAATGAGGCCCCATCATATTAAGCTTTCGCTATGTAGTTCAGACCCAGGACATGTCACCCAGTCATGGGGTGCGTTCAAAGTATTCTCAGTAGTATCAGTATACGTTTCCGTCATTTCCTTTATGTATCAACTGAGGAAGCTGAATAAAGCGAAACATGATTTGATATTTAAATTTGTGTTGGTTTTTGATCCAATTGTCCTATCTAGTATAAGTACTAAAATTCCATTGGTACCATTGGTTGACAATTTACTCTGAATGGGCAATTTTCGTGATTCCGTCTTGCGCCCCGCGGAGCATAAATACGACATATGGCACAAGTGAGCCAACAATAAATTCCTGTTATTGCAAGGAAGGTTCGAGTTAAATATATAGGCTCACAAGAATGGTTCAGTGATCGGAAGAAACAAGTGCTAGTAATCGCAAGACATGGCACATATTAAATGTGTAAGCTCGCATGGCAGGTCATTCGTTTATATAGGACTTTGAAGTTGCAAAAGAAAAAGTGCACAAGGTATCACCGTGTATATCCAGTAACGCCGGAATGTGAAAATAACGCACGATCCCTGCAAAAGGTAACGCAGAATTGTACAATAAATGGCGGATACCGCACAGGATTCCCAACGCGGCAAATAAGCTGGGCAATATGATTTTTTATCTAATCAAACTGAAAAAAGGAAAAGCCGCATACGGCTGCGAAGACATAATTCTTCATCCCTCATCAAGATTATTTCCACGAAATTGCTTACTTTTCAAGATCATTCGTAATCACCGTTTTGAGTGTGATTTAGGCTTTTTGTCGACTCTTATAAGTAAAACAATGCATTTTATACCGTATAATTTCGATTTTGATGACAAATGGCATGTACTAAACTTCTGGTGACATAGAAAATTGAAAATAAGCTGATAAAATGTGATTTATGAGGTAACGCCGGAAAATGTGATTTTTTCATATATGGTACTGAATCATTACTCAGGTTTATTGGATAAACACGGTGGGTATGTACAGACAGAGAAAGTTTGGAGATTTTTTTAACAAAATATTGGCATAATTGGTATCGAAATTTCCAAAAAACATTTTGACTACACAATGATATACTTACATTGTTTGATATTCTAATATCATGCATGTGCCTGATGTTTGATTACTATCAAACTTTTGCTTTACGTGTAAATAGCACTGGAATGAAACGTAAAAGTTGCAGACTTGTGATTTTATTGTCCCATATCTTTAAAAATAACATTTACAAGAATAACAATTTTGCATTTTCTTTCACTGCTATTTACAAGTAGATTTTGGTGGTTATCAAATTTCAACAAAAATTAACGCATCGTGTTGTCAATAAAATTTTGCAAATTTTGATGCCGATTTTGACAACATTTTTCTCAAGTTAGTTTATTTTCTGTGTGACGATGTTGGTACTTTCTTTTGCAACTATGTATCAATTCTTTTTTGAAGGACAATTTTCGTTATACTTGTTAATTCAAATGTCTATACCTCTTGTCACAATTATAGGAATAAGAGAAATGCTTATTAATAAAGCTGTTGATATTTCAAAGTCAAGCTATTGCTAATCGTTTGTTTGTGTTTTTTCCCTCAATATTTTAATTCTCTTCAATATTTAAAAGATAGTTGTAAAAAACGTTTAAAAGTTTCACTAAAATTTTCCAAGGAATAGGTGAAACAAAATATTTATCTCGATCTCAAAATTGATCTTGGTAAAGACCAAGTTATTTCAACTTTTCAATGTTATTCAGAATTTCAAAATAATTTTAAATAGTACTAGCAGTTCTTTTTTGTTAAAGGGGCTCCCCAGATTTCATATTGACATGGCGGGACTTAAAATAATTTTCCAATATTTGCGTTCCATTTGATGTAGGTCGGGACGAATAATTCTGTGCAAATTTTCATATCATCCCTTCAACCATGAGTCATCATTTTTATTGTCCAAAATGATCCAAAAATGAAAAACCTTGCAACGCGTTCTCGCTTAAAAAGGGTTAAGAATCGCATAAGATACGGTATTCAATTAAATTCCGAGTATATTTCTTTTTATCCTTTGCAAACTTCTCCATTTTAAGTGTTTTACTTGATCTTTGTGAGAATTTCAATTTTTATGTTTGTTAGGCTTTCTGTCATTTTTGGCGCTCCTTTAATTCTATTTGACACATACACGGCAGCAAAACCAGTATAACACTAGGGTAGAGCCTCTTCCAATATAAGTATGGCCGTATTGAACTAGTCCTATAGTTTTAAACATTTTTTTCCTTTAAAGATATACTATGCTCAAATTTTAAACTTGAAAATATTCATGATTGCTACACAGTCTCTGCACAAAAAATGTTTTATTTTAAACTCTACACACTGTAAGTGGACACAACATGAATATAATTATTGTGTCATAAAAAAAGCTGGCCTTTTTTTATAGAAAGGACCAATTTTAATTGACCCATGATAGAAAATCTTACGGAAGAGCATTAGTGCCAGGTGTATGTTTTTTTCTTAACTCGAAATTTCGAGTTACTAATTCGAAATTTCGACTTACTTATCTTGAAATTTCGACTTACTAACTCGAAATTTCGAGTTAATTGACTCGAAATTTTGACTTACTAACTCGAAATTTCGAGTTAATTGACTCGAAATTTTGACTTACTAACTCGAAATTTCGACTTATTAACTCGAAATTTCGACATAGTAACTCGTTGATAATTGTAAGATAAGTAACTCGAAATTTCGAGTTAGTAAGTCGAAATTTCGAGTTAGTAAGTCGCAATTTTAAGATACGTCACTCGTAATTTCGACTTACATTGCACGACTTACATTGGTTGCTGGTAAAATTCAAGATACTTTCTTTCATGTGTAGCTGTTGCACATTGACAGAGCTACTATGTATTTAACAGAACAATTAAATAGGGTCAAATTGTCCACACATACAGAACATATCCTTCCCATTTCTTGATGCTTTTTATTTGGGGGGGGGTGGGAGGTTGTAAAATCACACTTTCCACATTTCCGTGTTAACCGGATGTTTCTTGTGTCTTATACATACAACCATCATGTGGAGATACAACAAGTCCAAAACCCACCCTATTGTAAACTGTGCAATATTCATGTGTTAACTAAGTTTTTAAGTGGCGTCTATACGCCAGTTAATCTGTCACGTTTCTTTATACTAATAATGTTTTTGTAACATTTTTTAAAAGATGTTTGTCAATATTCTATATTCATTTATTTACTAAGAATTTGATTCATATTGTGTTGCTAAAAGTTGATAATAGTGGAACTTGTTGTTATATACATGTTGGGAATAATATTATAGCATCCGATTTTACAAGAGATATAGTCAGTCCAACAAATTTGACAAAGGCTTCAGCACGCCCTATTTTGGCCACTCCGCGGTACTTTCCTCAGATGTCCCACACGTGTGAAGTATAGGATCGTTTTATTCACAGTGATGAGAAGAATATGAAAGATATGCTCGAACAGGTGGGCTATTATACAACGTCTGTTCAAAGAACGCCTGAACGTATAATTTAAGGAAGCCTTGTAATTTTTAAGTCGGGTGTGTACATGTCATTGTCAAAAGTGACCACACTTATAAGTTTGAGTTTATTTTTAATAGTATTTCCAGGCACCTGTTTCTCTATCTCAATCGTTCAACCGCATTCCCTACTATATCTTATATTATCTAAACTCTTGGTAACTCATAACTTTGGCCATTCTAGTAATGTACCTTAGTCGAACTTTCGAGTGAGTATGTCGAAATTTCGAGTTAGTAAATCAAAATTTCGAGTTACTTAGTCGAAATTTCCAGTTAATAAGTCGAAATTTCGAGATAAGTAACTAGAAATTGCAAGTTAGTAACTCGAAATTTCGAGTTAATAAAAAAAACTTGGCACTAATGCTCTTCCGTAGAATCTAGCTTCCCAAATATAGATAGTATTTTTTTATTCAAATTAGATATATTTAGTAAGAATTTCATAGATTTCAATTGATTTATACGATAAAAGTATTTTACTCAAATATGAGCATAGTATATCTTTAAATTTTAACATGCCACAGGAATAATATTTGGTACACTCGCAATGGTATATGTATGTAAGCATTTAACAATGTTTTGTCATTATAAAGAAATAACATAATCAACTGGTAAATTTAACCTCTAAGCATCCGATCACGTTAAACAAGAGGTTATTTTTTTATCTTAAAACCCCTGGATAAGGCCCTGTCCCTAGTGATATTCAGACGCTAAAATAATTGCTAAAAGACCAAATATCGAATTAAGACATTAGTGAGCGAGGAGGTGCCGAGAATGATGGAATGTAAAATTCGGCTCATTTCAACTGAAATCCCTCTGTTTTTCACCGGGGCTTGCTGGGTCGTAGTTATGATAGACTGATTTATAATTCAATGTTGAATGAACTAAAATATGTTCATAAATTCATAAACATTTTATTATAACATGATTCAAATAGAAACGCCTTGGCACGTACATAGTACTAACAAATAAGGCAAACTAAAAAGTAAAAAAAATATCAACAATAGCAGCAGCAGCAACCACAAAAACAATAACAAAATAATGATAATAATAATGAATAATGTTGAGTTCTGCTTATAAGTATGTGGTAAAATAATTACACATTTCTTATTGATATGTCTTTAAATTTAAATTTCCACCACCTTTGAAGAATGTGATGACGCTTCGTCAACTTGTTCAAAAATCGCGTATTGGACCCCATGGTTGATCACGAAAATATCTGAAATGAGCACAGTTTTATGTTTATAGCTTTATGACAGAATAAATATTCTTTTTGTTAAATAATTGCAATGTCATAGAAAATTTGTAAAACAGTAACACCATACTTATAGGGGTATTTATTATGACACAGATACATGAGTTTTAAGTGTATAAAGCTATAGCTGCAAAAAGAATACTTCTTAAATACGTGTACGTATGAAAAAAATATGGCAGTACAGTGCATTAAACGCAATTATTCGCATGCACAAAATCATTGCTTAACGGTCTCTATTAAAGCTACAATATATTGTTAAACCTCATGTTGTATACTCTGATATACCTGAGTGAAATAAAGTAATCTGTCTGTCTGTCGGTTAAAACACTACTTAAAATAGCAGCCTAATATTTTGTTCCGGAAAAAAATTCTGTTTACGTACAATATCCATGTGTTTTAAATAACAGAGACATTTTATTTTTACAACTTTTTTCAAGAATCTACCATAAGATTAAAGAAACAATATACTTTTACTGTTGATAAATTTTATAAAAATATTTCATAAGATATAGCTTTATACCCTATAAGGCCTGCCTTTGAAAGTCGGGAATATTCTTGGTAAAATATCTATGCTGTGAAAAATGTCTTATCAACTTTTATTTTGTAACAGACAGAATAAGTCACTTTTTAAGTTTAAAGTCTGGGTACTATTTTCGTTACATATGTACTGCTTTCATTATATCACAAAGGTAGGTTTGACATTGCAAGTCATTTATAATTAATATGCATTACATACAAGACATGGCAATGAGAGATAGAGAAAAGACAGATAATCTACCTGTGTTTGTCACAAATACAACGATTTTTTCCTCTTCTAGGAATTATTGTACAGTAACCACCTATTTTTGCGCACCTGCCACGAGTAGCTATATCAAAATTTGGACAAATCTTGTATTTCATTGCCCTCTTTGGTATTATATCAACACATTCAGTCTGTTCCTCATTAAATTGGCATCTTTTCCTCCTTCTGCCGCCCTCACTTGAATTCATTTGCATCATGAGCACTGCATAAATAATCACTATCACCGCAAAAGGGTAAGTTGTAAATGTTTTCATCTTCATCTTGCATTATTTCCATAAAATGAAACATCTAAGCGTGTTACATCCATAAAATAACATTTATCCATACAATCTTGTAGATTAATCATGAAAATTATGAATAAGGATTTATTCAGGGTCATTTCTGTCACTTATTTTTAACTTTAGAACCTATTTTGTAATTCTACGAAAATACGTTAAAAAGAAACTAGAACATTCGATCAAGGACACTATTCTTTATATGTAACGTCATAACAAATGTAAATAATAATTACTGATATCGTATTGAATGTTAGAAGACTACAGCAGTACAAATATTGTACAAACATAGACAAGTTCATTGCGTAGGTATTGTAAACCTACTATGCATTTAAAAAGTTATGTACGTGTACCAATGTAGCACACTTTAATATCATTCACGTTTTATATATTCAAAATATAAATTGACACTTTTGTTGTTAAAGGATTATTTTTGTTCTCGATGATTCTAAAATCCAAATTGTATATTCAGAATTACAACAATCATTGCAATCATTTTGACACAGTTAATTATTTTGTGTGTATTTTAAATGTTTCATGTTTATGTTTAAAAAACTTTCAGTTTTTTTGGTATCATATTACAGTTTCCATAAAATTACTCATTGGTCATATAGCTCAAATATCTTTTGCTTCGTTTGCTTTTGGGTAATTGGGATAATTATAGTGAGTTGTTAGTTAGTATTCAAAATGGAAGTCAATATACTTCCTTGTTTACATTTTGATACCTTTACAACACATCAGTGAACATTCAACGCTATTTTTTGATGTCTAAATGCTCGAAATTCATTATCATGAATATTATCAAACATATATTTTATCTGACCTTTCTTAAGAATTTCTAAAAAACATTGATTTCTGAGACATAATGTGCTTTTAAATAGAATAACGTTTGGTTATATGTTTGGTGATATTGATGCACGCTTTCTTTTGTATCCGTCCTCCATATAGCATTTACATTAACTATTTAAGCTATTAATTTAAGCTTACAGATTATTATTATTATTACTATTATTATAGTATAATTTGTCAAAAACTACTGCCTTCCCGGTCAAAGTTTATAGTACACATACTTCCAATTTTAAATATCAAGGTTTTCTTTTATCTGCATGAATGCTTCCGATATTATATTACATTGTATTATTATTTTAATTGCCAAACGAATAAAAATCAAAATAAAATGGCAAATTCTGAAGAGAAGCATGTATAGTTTTATTTTTTCAATTCATTTATTCCAAGACAATATACGAACAGAGTGTAGTAAGGGAGTGAAGGTGGTTTCGACAATTGTGGATTTTTTTCTATTTAAACAGCGAGTATGCTGTTGATACAGTAGTCCATATCGCTAGTTCTTTTGAAGGATCAAAAATAGTATCACCAAAAAAAAGTTTAACTTCATACAAGACCTAAAGAGAAGATAGTCATTGAACCTGGTTGTCAGCTAGGTATGAAGCTGATAAGGCTCAGCGTCTGAAGGAAAAGACACATAAAATGCCCTCACTTGATAACAAACATCTTCTTAGGGCATAAAATTAGTTGTTTTGATAAAAAGCAGCGACGAAATTGCAAAATGCAACAGCATTAGGATTGAAACATCATTGGAGAAAGCTTCGAATTGAGAAAATATTTAATAATAAATTGCGCATGAAATGCATCGGTCTTAGGACGATTGTTTTGATAAAGGCGTTGATCTCATGCCAAGTAAAAGAATTTCTTGCAGCTCAAAGGAAGATAGAAGATTATGAAATGCCTAAGAGAAATTAAAGATCAAGAATTCCTAGAGGATATATTTAAGATGTCTCCTAAGTATTAATATGACATCAGGACTACAAATTTTCCAGTTTTTACTACACTTCTTCTGCAGATTTCGGACGCAGAACCTTCTACGCCATCCAAAATATTCCTGAGATATTTAATTATCGTCAAATATGAAAGCAAAGTTCAACAAGGAAGGACGGCATTCAATGAACACAACTCCGGCAAAACCCAGAAACACAGGACCATCGGCAAGGAGAAACAAAAGCCTGAAAGCGCAAAACAGCGAAGCCTATAACATCTAGCTAATAATTTTTAAAGATATAAAATATAAGGAATTGATTTATATGGATAAATAAAACATATTTCTCAAGACAAAGACTTATATGTAAACTATTGTTTACTTTTGATGTATAATTGTGTTCATTGTATTATTCTCCGAACATGTTTGTACTGTATTTACTTTTCTTGACCATGTTCATGTTGTGCAATATGTACTATTTTATACTTGTATTGTGTTTTATTCTTTGTGTCACAAACCATATTTTTAAATTTGTCTCAAGATAAGTTTCTTTTTATCAAATTATAGCAGCTTTTATATATGTGTTAGTTATATAAATAACTGAAACCTAATTCAGAAATCCCTAGTTTCGAAAAACAACGTTCATGTCATAATGACGGCGTGACTTGTGCTGTAACCTCTGTACTGCATGCAGGCCTCGACACTTACTTTTTAAGGAGGTGGTAAGCCGGACCACTAGAATTTAAATTTAAGTGGTCCTTCCAGAAGACAGGTGGTCAATTATTATTATTATTATTATTATTATATCATTTTACTGCAAATTTAGAAAAAAAATGCTTTGAAATGATGACAAAGATGTATAATATATTAACCTTTAAAGGAAACAGATATTTTAGATTTATATCTTTTTTAAATCAGATTTTAAGAAGAGCAAGTCAATAGGTATTCTATCGTTAAGTTATCTGTTTTTTGTGGGGTTTTTTTTTATCTCAGTCAAAAATACACAACATAGCTCTTAACTTATTTAGTAAATAAGTTATTTATGTTAACTTTTATATTGAAGTGATTTCTCCCTCAACTCAAGTTAAAAAATATTGAAACCATTTGTGCCTGTTATTTTTTTTTACTGTTAAACAAATATTTATTGCTGATACGTCTGATTATCATAATAATTACAGGTATCTTTTATAGATTAACATTTTTAATAAAACTAATACATTATCTTAGTCTTGTCTTTGAATACAAGGAAATATCTAAAGGATAAAAAATAGTAACAACGTTATATATAACTATAGTTTAGCTTATTTTCTCTCTGATTTATTTAAATAAAGAATTTTTACCTCCCTGTTGCTTGTTGATTAATTGATATTTATTTTTGACATTGAGTACCGGTATTTTTAACCTTTTAAAGTAATTTTAACTCTAGGAAAAATTGATCTCTTATCGTAAAACATAAGTAGCAAAGAATTACTAGATGCAATTTTCCAGTTCCTTTCGTTCGCGACCATATTATATCTGAAATTTAAGTTTATCCGATATCCCATACAATATCGTAATTACCATCGTCGGATACCCACGATTGATTAACATGCAACATAACATAAATGTCAATGGTCCCACCATGGGTATCCGACGATGCATAATTACTAGCATCATTTGAACGAATTTGTACCTAAATAAATATATCACAAATTCTTAACTCTTTTAACTTGCATCAACAAAATTTTAGCAACTTAAAATGAAAGTAATTGATGACTCAACTTCTTTAACTAATCAGAGATAAGTGAACCATATACCATGTACATCGGACACATGATTTTAAACAAAATGTATATAACATCGGACACATGATTTTAAACAAAATGACTATAACATCGGACACATGATTTTAAACAAAATGTATATAACATGTTTTGACCAAATCGCAATTATCCCAAATAAGCCTGCACAAACCAGAAAATGCAAGTGGTCCGACGGACCAGTGGCTTTAAAAATTAGGTGGTCCTTGCCAAAATCAGGTGGTCTCGGACCAACGGACCACCGCTAATGTCGAGGCCTGGCATGTGTTTTTGTTATCGAATAACAAGAAAAGTATAAAAAAAGTACATGCAAACATATTGCTGGGAGATGAAAATCTGAAAGTTTAAATGACCGAGTGACCACACAACTATCTTATTGAATTTGTTAGTACATCTTTACCAATTACATGCCATTATTTTTTCTGTCAGTAGATAGTGAATTGTTGCTTTTATTGTTGGTTTATGGAAAAAATTAGTTGTTGTTTCGCACGCTATGTGTAACAGTATCAATAATGAGTAAATTTTGTTATTGTTTTATCTACGTCACATCTACTTATACTACATCAAACGATTTTATGATAAAATAATTGATAACTTTATGCCTTCGTCATCATATGATATTATTCAACAAATTATAGCCTAGCTTATTTTGTAAAGGATCATGCACTTATGAATGGTATATTGTACTGTATATCATATAATGACAAACTTACGAGTGTTTGAAAAACGCTATGGTCGTTCTTTGTAAAGACATAATACACATGAAATGTGATATCAGTATCAAATTGTATCTTTTCATATTTATGTTTGTAACAAATTTCGAACAAAATTTGTTTTTGCTAACACTATTACAATAACCGTGTTTTATCACTGGCAAATGATTTATGTAACAATACAATTAAGATTACATTGATATTTCACATTTTCAAAAAATTAAAACTTGGCAACAATTAAAGCCCGCAGATACAAGTAATGCAAGAGTATGAATTGAAAATTGTTTAATTTTTCAAAGAAAATTAGCTTTCGTATAAAATGCAATTAAATAAGAGCGTGTTTTTGCATATGCAAATGTACTGAAATTTAAATAGTTCAGCTACATAAAAATTCATTTATTACAAAACATTTTAAGACATTACATTGTCTTTCATATTGAATTAAATCATTTTTGTTGTTTCGTTACTTGCTATAGATAATATTGATAATATTGAGAAAAAAAAAATTAGATAAATACATATTTTCATTTTCCGTATCTTAACTGTAAAAGAATTATTTTTCAATGCAGTGAAACATAGTTTCCGTATTTTCACTGGTGTCTTGCTGGAATACTTTCTTTTAAATTCAGCCCGTATACCAAATTTAAGGGGTAGGCTTTCAAATTGTAATGAAAAAAAAAAAAAGAAAAAAAAAAGAAAAAAAGAAATATTTATATAATAAACAGATCCCCTTTATCTGCATCATTTTACATTGACCACCTGTTTAGTAAAGACATGTCAAAATTTGGACAAATTCTGTATTTTTCTCACATCAACATACTGGGTACGTTGCGCTTTTGATAAGCATTTCTTTCTTTTTAATTTTCATGCCCTCGTTCGAATGTATTTGCATCATGACTGAAGTAATAAGTGCATAAAAATCAATGTTGCCTCTTTCATTTTATTTTTCTGACAAATTTAACCAACAGTTTAATTTTTGTTATGGGCACATGATAAACATTTGAAAAACAACCTCACCGTGCTCAATCGAATTTCTACTTTTCTCGATTTCACGAATATTCATACCATTAAGACAAAACAAAACAAGTCATGCGAGTTTCATTTTTAAACACACTTGTTCTTATTAATAAACCGATCATTGAAACTGAAAGGAAACGTGAATAATCCAGAACCATAGTTTCAACATTTTATTTCGAGGAAGTTAGTCATTTCCAAATAATAATAATAGCATTTTGGTTTTGTTTCTGTGTTCATCATAGAAACTGAATAAATATGGGGTATACACAGACTGTTACATGGTTTTGTAAACTTCTTGAAGTATGCATTCTTAAAATCAGATAAATGTTGCCTGTACATTAAAAAGTTGTATATATCACATACTACTTATATGTAGTTTTTGATTTGATAATAGCATATCTAATAATTCCAATTATTTGCCGACTGTAAAACTTTTTAGCATTGCCGTTGATTACACTGTACGATATTTGGCCTTGTGCGGTGACAAGTCATTTATGGTACGGTTAAGTGATGTTTTTATTGACAGACTATTGGAAAAATAAAGAGAAATTACATGTAATTATGTCAAATGATCTCGCATTTTCGTCAAGTGTCGAGATTGACAACAAGGTCCAATTGTGCAGCAAGTCCAAAGGTCCAAAAAGTCGATTAGTTACTCTGTCAAAGTAATTTTGGTATCAAGAAGTCAACTTTTTGCATTCCACTGCACAAATAATTAATTTCCTATGATTAGTTTAATATAAATGTTTATACTTACATTTTAAATGACATAATTTGTCTTATATACGCTATGATCAGTCTTAAATAGATAATAAATGAATAAATAAATGTTGTTATGTCCACTATCTATCATTAAAGAGACCGTCATCGTTATGGAAGTTTATTATATAAGTTAAAATATATAATACATCATACCCATGACAAACATTATCTCCTTTTAAACGTACAAAACTTCAAATAATCATAAAAAAGTATAATTTCTTTAACTTATTTCTGAATAAGATAACTATGCTGTGTTTCAACGAAGAAACTAAAATTATTGTTCAAGGACATGATTCAATAGATAAAATAAGTATGTCACTACAAAACTTAAAACAGTGTTAAATGTATTGTGTGGTTTAAACAATACATTTGACCTTAAAAGTTTGTTTTTTGTAACAATAAGTACAATGTGATATCATATTCATATCATGTTTCACTATTATGTCTTATCTATTTATTTTGAAGGAGTGGGTAATAATTAAGAAGAGTTTTTGGAGTTGGGATGTTATGTCAGTGGTGACGAAGGTATTAATCGGATAAATCTTTAAAAGCAAACTTGAATTCTAAATACATGAGTAACGAAGTGTAAGATTTTGACATTCCGCAGGTGATTTTATGAATCGAATACAGAAGACCAGCAAAATTGGAATTTTCTTTTTGTTCATTATTATAATTATTCATGACTGAAGTGGACCATGATATAAAAGTTGTAAGAGCTAGTTAAGTTGATTTCTTTCAAAATTATAGAACAATATGAGGGATAAAGCACTCGCTTTAGAAAAAAATGAATTTGACTCATGAAACCACAAATGTTCAACTCGAACTTTTGTCAGTATCTTGTATTTACAACACTCATCAGGTTTAAAGTTATCTTCCGCATCTATTTTTTACATAAGAAATTTACACGAAACAAAATCGGCTTCTTTCCTGCGTAATTTACATGGTATTTTCAAGTGTTTTGTTGTGGTTTTTTTAATTGTTTCCAAGAAATTTTCTTTGCATCAAGATTAATGCCCCTTTAGTAAAATGTCATCTGCTACATACATACATTAACAATTTAGTCTGCCGCTAAGATTGACACGATCTTATATGTATAAATCGACACAGATAATTTTAATTAAAATGTAAATCATTCTTGGGACAATGATAATTTATTTAAAGATAGAAAATGTACGTATGTTGGTGCCAAAACACATTTGATAACTTTATTTCATGTCTTTTTTAAGATTCAGTACGTGGAAAATAAAACCAAAAAGTAAAGACCATACAATACATTCCATAAATGATTACAGCAATGTTTTTTGTGTGAATTGTATATTTTCTACTTAAAGCGTCCTTAAACTTTCATTTTCTTTTAGAAAAACAATTATGTGTTGTTAGAAAAACAACTAAGTATTTTCAGTAATTTTATCTTGGAAAAGTGTAACATATCACTGTACACGGTTTTACGAGAGCTATTTATAATGCTTCAGTGAAGTTCGTTTCTAAAAGTAGAAGATAGGGAAACGAATAGTCAGCTTTACTAATTTAATCCTCTAACTCAATTCTTTTATCCTCTAACTAAAATCTTTTATCCTCTAACTCAATTCTTTTATCCTCTAACTCAATTCTTTTATTCTCTAACTCATTCTTTTACGGTTTTATATCATAAATATAATGCTCGAATGAAGATTTATCAATATTGTAAGTTCGAAAAAGCATTATATGTAAAGATATTACCGAATTTACATTTCATATTAATGAAGGGAGGTAATTAGAAATTTATTTTCTATAAAGTCTAAGTAAAATGTTCCAATAAGAAATAGATGCATATATTTTAATGATAACATATAATGTGGACACATATTCTTCGGTGTTTGAAAATTGTTTTAGAAACATACTTATTACATATATAAACTATCACTTAATTGTGGTAACAACCTTTATTACAGGATCTTTAAATACATGTTCTTTATTGTTCTTATTTTTTCGTCGGCAAAGTTCATTTCCCATCTTAATTCTTTTTTATTGGACAATTATATGAAACATTGGTCAGACATAACATATTTAACCTTTAAAAAAGCATAAGAGCGCTTTGAGGAGCTCAGTTGAGGACCAACTGTGTAAAAACATTTTAGATTCTTGCATAAATGAATTGGTGCACTTGAAAAGATGAACAGTAAAAGTATGTAAAGGATAATGAAGAAGTGTACTCAGATTCTTTAACTCGAGTCTTTGATTTAAGTCAAAGCGTTTAAACACTTTTGAATTTTGGATTTTTTTGGCGCACCATCAGAATTATTAATCTTGAGAAACAGATTAATTAAATGATCTGAAACACGAACATGAATTTTGTATTTGTAATATTCTGACTTTAATGTGTTTGGTTTTGTTGAGTGCAAATCAAAAAACTTGCATTGTTGACCAAAAGGTGAATTGTGAAGAAGAATTTCAAGAGAAGAGAGGCATTGGACAGTCTGTGAAACATTATTTAAAACACTAAAGGACATTTTAAATCTGACGAAAACTGGATGACATATACCGAAGACTTGTGTGGTGCCATGTATGAAATATCCGAAGATGAAATGTGTGTACAAGCTTATATCAAGACAAACATTGTATATATTATGTATTAACATATATAAATATATCGTGGTGGTTTCAGGGCTAATTGTATTAATGGTTTAATTGCTGCTGTATCTTCGAAGTCAAACAAATTTCATCTCCAGCAACTGAATCGTGAGCATAATCATTGGAATATCAAATATGAAGGATAATAGATATAGCTGATGTTCCTTTCCTGAATCCATGACATTCACCCCCAACGTGATAACACATCTATTGTATTTAAACACATTCCAATGCTTTTGTCAAACACATACTAGGACCTAATATAATATAAAGAATAATTACCTTTATATTAAAACATTTCCTACAGATAAAATGTTATCGATTTAATAATATAAAAATTAAACTCACTGGAAGTTGTACTTTTATTTACTTGGTGATTCATGCAATGTTTATAAGTTAATTTTATATGTTAACGTTATGTTTATACATTTCATTTTCATTGAATTTAAGTCATGTTAATATTTCACTGACAGAAATTTGACCAAATGTCGACATATAAATTTTGTATTTATGTACATGTATCTTCATTTTAACCTTCTATTTTCAAATTAAATTACGCATTGTCCAAGTAATTTCAAAGTTCACACGGATTGATTACTGTTTTGTTTACTGTCTGCTTTTAGAAACTTATTGATAATGATGTTGTTTCTAATTCTATAGGCTGGCTGATTGGTTGGTGTTTTTGTCTGTGACCCATTCTTGAAAGTTCATTGGCTGGTCTCTAAATAACCTGAAATATGTACAATAATAATACTCACAAGATAACAATATTTATAAACATGATGGGAAATAAATGAATATTTGATAACAAAGCAGTTTATAAGGCATGAGTAAGAGTAAAATATGAAAGGAGACAAAAAAAATCTGACAAAGTTCCAACAATAGATTTAAAATGCGTCGTAAAACAATGCAAATTTTTGACGGCTATCTCCTTTCTCATATTGTTTCAGGTTCATATAGGTTCTCATTGACCGCCGTACAGTGACCTAATTTTTGGCTCTAAATTTATATTTCAGGCTTATACTCCGGGGAAATTGCCTGGAGGTAATTTATCACCACCCAATGCTTCAAAATTAAACCCTCATGAAACAAAGACAATATTATTAAGCTTCATTTCATGTTTCTAATGATTGTTAATACTTGTGGAATATATAGCAGCAAATTGTGAGATTGGTTTAAGCAAGTTTGTTTATTATGCATGTTGCAATGGAAACAGAATATTAATTTCATCCTTTTATTCCCTGTGCTTACCTGTTTTATTTGTGTTTCATCATTATCGCTAAATACATTACTTCGTGTTATGGCTATAATATTGTTGTAAAATTTATATGCTAATAAAATGATGTTTTTTATTGTTGTTCATATGGTATTCAAGTTTCTAGCGTATTTAGGTATAAAACGTAAACAAGAGAAACGAAATAAAAAACTTTATAAGCTTTAAAGTTTGTTCATCTGGCTAGACTTTGTATGTTAAATATCTTTCCGGAAAATTGGTGATTGTTCATTATGTTTTGGATGCCGAAAGACTTGTCTATATGGTAATTGATTGATATTGCATTTTTTTCGGCTAAACTTACACTCTATGGGAAATTTAAGAGAACAGAAAAGCAATATTGATTTTCATTACTATTACATTTGAATACGTTTGCCTTTCTTATCACGGCATTTTCTTAACATGCATTGACATTGATTTTATTTACATTCTTTTGTTCTGTAGATGATATGTCATGCATATTTGTGAATAAAGGCTGGCTTGAATTATATATAATTATTTTTTTAACTTATCCAGTTTACTTGAATCGAAATTTAGCTCAGTAACTGTATAATGTTAATAAATGTAATACATTATCTTCTGTAAATGTACGCTTATTTATATTATTATACGTTAGTTAAACTGTACTAAAATTAAAATTCAACCCGGTAATCAAAGAAATGCGGGTAGTCCATAACATTTCATATGAAGAATAGAGATAGCCCCTTATCTGTGACAATCAATCCGATAATTAAACATTATTTGTACAATTTTTTAGTTTATAATCTGATTCAATGTTTTTGAGAATTCAAAACTTAAAAGTACATTTTTGGGTAGACTAAAGAGTTTGTTTGTAGAATATAGAATTTATGCAAACTTATGAAACTTAATTATAATGGAAATATTAACTAAACTCCAGTTTTTCTATTTCAAATCTAGCCTTGGAAAATATTAACTACATGTAATTCAAGAGTTTGTACAAAATCATTTACGTTACCTTCCTGGGTTAAAACACTCGCACATTTTTCGACCATTGGCTGTCTCAATCAAGATGCACCTTCCTTCAATCTTTGCGCATAATCCTTCTTTACGTAAATCATACCCCTTACAATGTTTGTATCTTCGGACTATTTTTCTTGGTATGATATCAACACATTCGCCTTTCTTTTTCTTCAGTTTACACAGTCGTTTTCTTCTAGCAGCAGTCTGATGCAGTTCTGATATTAGAATTAAAACGACCAAGGTCACGATAGCTTGACGTAGAAGCACACCCATGCCGTTTCTTCTGTCTTGTACCTACATTAAAGTAATAATTGAGATGTTATAAAAATTTATGCATAAAAAGCCTCCCCGTTTGATTGGTTGTACATGTAATTGGTTTAGTACAGTTTATACTAATTTATTTGAGTTTGTGAACGATTGTGTTGGAAGCTACAATCTTATTGGAACACTCTCGAATCTGTTCTTGGAACCAACCAAGTACTAAGCAATTAGTGTAAAGTTTCTTGCTCACGGAAGCATGTACATGTTTGGTCATCTAACGTAAAGAAATAAGGAATTATGAAAACAAAATAAAAAACAAGAGTTTTTGACATAAGATTGCCACTGAATATATCTTCAAGTATTACACGGCAATAATTGTTGTTAGGCAGATTTTTTTAACTTTTGAATAAAAAACTTAGGTTAAATTTATGATTCTGAGACGTAATTAAATCATTTTCAATAGACGTAGCCAAAATCATTAAGCACGTGTGAATATACTTACATTTTACTTTTGTCAAAACATTTGCGAGTGTTAACATATCCCAACAGAAGAAAATGTTCGCTTTTACTTACAAATAATTACTAGAAGATAACATGTACAATGTTCTACTTAAAATGCCAAATATTAAATCATTTTCGCCACTAGCTTAGAGTTGAAGTGTAAGTTTATTCCTTTGCAAAATTTTCTATAAAATGCCAATACTTTTTATGGTTAACAATGAGGACATACCATTTTTTAGCTTTATTCACTACATATAATTACAAAATGATTTATGTTTCCAAAATTTAATTTGAACATTAAAACAATTTTCGGATTGTAAATTTTATTGAATTAGTAGCTTTTTAAATAGAATATTTAAAATTGTATTCGAATACTACCTTTTCTTGTATAGATAAAAAATATCACTATATATTTCTCTAGGGAATACTTTTTTATTTTTAAAAGAATTCGAGTCCTTTTATTAACAACTTTTGACTCGTGTTGAAAGTGAAAACAATTATATCCAATTGTGACAAAGGACTTGATTCATTGTATTTTGCTCTTCAAATCAGACTTCAAAAAAAGAAGAAATAAATAATAAGAAGAAACAATTTGTTTGATTGTCTATTTAGTATACATATAATAAATGTAAAAACTATGTACATGTAAGTGTCTTTTAGTATAAATAGATACGAAACATTACATCATCTGAAACTTTGAGAACTATTTGTTATAAAATGTTGTAATGTTATACAAAACCGTTGCGTGAAAATGAATTAAAATTACTACGCTTTTAATATAAATTTAACCTTTAAATATCAAATGAATGGCCTTAACTACATATCGTAACAATGCAAGTTTTGGATAGTTTTATTTTAAAGCTGGGGGTTGCTGCATGTATTGGAAAGTTTATGCAATTTTACGTCATTTCAACAAATGGTTTTTTCTTGTTCCTTTTTTTACAAACAAAACCAGATTTCGACATAATGAAAGTTTCCTTAATAAGGATGTTATTCTCGGAATTATTCAACGTGTAAATGAATGTTATATTTTAAAAATTAATTGCCTTGCCGAATTAGTCAGCCATTACATAATACTGTGGTATGGTATTAACAATCGCTACAATCAAAATTAAACAAAATTGGCGACATTACGACATGCACTTTAGGCAGTTTTAGGTTTTTAGTAATGTAAATCATCCACATATTAATTTCAATAGAAAACTATATATTATTTAAAATGTTTCACTTTCAAGAAATACAATAACTTATACTAACAATCGACATTTTAAATTTGATTATTCATTAAGTTTCATCATTTGCAGACTTGCTGATTTGATTTTTTTTTAATTATGTACAGATAAATAATAAAAATTTGATAATCTAAACATTATAAATATTATAGTATAATAATTTATATACATATTGTTTCTTATTTTTTATTATATTATTTTTTTTTTGTAATCTGATTTGTAAAAGAAAATATATAGTTTAAGCACAATAAAAATCTGGATTTATTTCTTAAAGTTGCAATAAACTTCATGTTCTACATGTGTACTTTCTATTTTTTTATTTCTTTTTTTTATTTACACAAATGTACTTATATTTTATATTTTTTATAGGGGTGTTTTCACGGTTAACTAAACGTTGCTAGTGGATAAATATCTTGAGAGTAGATTTTAAACAAGTGATAACAGTCCATTGTTTAAAATAAATATTGTCCTCTTTCCAAACTATAGCTTAGAAAATGAACTGGCCGATTGACCACACAAAAAACTTATATAATTTGTCAGGATACTGACTACAATATTCCAACTACATCTAATCTTCACTTTGATTGACAGTAAATATTATGACAAGTTCTCAGATGATGTGATTGATAAAGTGTTGCTTTGATTTGAGTGTATCATCGAAATTCATTGTTGTTCTAGCGAAACTTTACAAACGATGCAGTGTTGACAATGCGAAACTATTGCAATTATTTTTATCTAAGTCCCATTTAATTACATTGTGATAAAAGATCATTTCTTTGTCATAAAATGATTACTGAATATGTCTGACTATATGTTTATTTAACTGTACAGTATGTTTATTTCAACATAGCATAACTTCACTGTATATATATTAATGTATATATTAATTTTTAATAACTTTTGTGGTAAGGTTAAATGGTATAGTTCCTTATTCGTGTGACTTGCACAGGAGTACATAATTATGAATGGTAGATTGCATTACATTTCATTGATAATTAGAGTTCTTCTTATTATTTGAATATCCTATGTTAAATACAAATGATTTGTATTGTATTATTGTATTGTATTTTAAACGATTTTTAAACATGTATTTATCAAAATCAAAACAAAATAAAGAAACCATGAAAAGAATAATATTTATTTACAAATACAATTCGATAGAATAATAAAAGAATAATAATAAAAGATAACAAAAAAATTTAATAAATCCATGCGCTTGTTGTTATAATTATAATACAAGCGAATATGGAGAAAACTCACAACAACAGTGTGCTTGTCAGCTTTAACATACAGGTATATTCAAGACTGTTACACATATACAATTGTGATTTATCGCTATAATTTGAAATATATATGTAATAATGGTAAAAAACACATCTCTTTATAAAATACGCAGGATTCCTTACAGTGTTTGTGTTTTGGCTTATAATAGCGGCCCTTTATGTCTCAGGAAGTGCTTTTCTGATTATTTCAAAAAAAGCTTTTTATTTCAGACTTAAATATGTTACTCATTGGCAAATGGCCTGACCTTACTTTATCTTCTGTTGCTTTTCGGCAATTAATCTGATTAGTGTTTATGTCTTTCGTATGGAAGTCAAATCATACTTTGTTAACGTTTTGCTACATTTACGACAAATTATTTCATAGTTACCGCTACTTTTTTAAGGAAACAAGCATCTTAAAATGCTCTTCATCTATTATCTAAATGTTGTAAAACCCATGTTTGTCCTTTCTTTAGAAGTAGAAATTTGTTCGTTTCTGAGGCATATCATGCCTTTAAGCTTTGAAATCTCAAATTTGCACTTTTAAACAAAACCCTAGTAAGAATTATGTCAGTTTGATTCAATTCC